GTAATCTGTATTACTATTAGTCACATAATAGTAATTTTTATGGTTACATTATAATAAATTTTATCAAAATATCATAATATTTTTTATCATTATTACATTATCATCATTGTTATTTCAATTGCTCTTCATGTTATTATTATTATTGTGATGATTATTCATTATTTTTATTGTCTTTTATTGTTGTTGTTATCATTGCTGTCATTATGATTATAATTGATATTGATATTATTATTATTATGATTATTATTATTGTCATTATTAACATTATTATTAATATAATGATAATGATTATTGCTGTTTTAAGTATTTATTAGTTATCATTATTATTATTGTCATCATCATCATCATTACTATCATTGTTTTTATTTTTATTATTAATATCATTATTATTATTATTAGCATTATTATTATTATTATTGTTATTATAGTTATTATTGGTCTTATTTTTTATTATTAGTTCTATTATCATCATTATCACTATCATTACTCTTATCATTATCATCATTATCACTATCATTACTCTTATCATTATCATCATTATCATTATTAATTTATTGTCAGTTATTATATTTTTTATTATTATCTGTTATCATCATTATTATTATTATTGTTATAATAATAATAAATAATTGGCATTATTCTTAAAATGATCCTGATGAAAATAATTTAAAGACAAAGAAAAAGGAATAACTTAAACAAAGCTTTTGCGCCAAAAAAAAAAAAACTACAAGTTCATTGTAAATACATTAGTAACTGAGTGTCGCTCTCAAGTTGAAACATTAATGTTAAGGGAGATAAGAGTAAAAGCAACAACAGTAATAATGATGATAATAATAGTAATAATAATAATGATGATAATAATGGACACCAAGATATGTAGGTACAAAGATGGAAATTAAGCACCAGCTCACTATTAACTGATCTCCTTATAGATAAATTATTACTTGACAGCCAAATGTACTATACCAGTAGTTTTGGTCCTTCCTTTTAAATAAATTCTTACTTGACAACCAAATGTACTATACCAGTAGTTTTGGTCCCACCTTCTGGTCACACATCCAGCTTACCCACTTAGTCCCATCCCAAGAAACTTAGGCAATTGTTGCCCTCTGGTCATACTTCCAACCTACCCACAATAGCTTTGCCTGTGATTGTAATTCAGGAGCCTTTCTTTGTATGCTTGTGCATTATGAAAAAAAGGAAGAAAAAAAAATGCTGGAATGTAGTCATTGTATTTAGAACTCTTATAAACAAAAACAGACATAATTTACAAATGAATGCGTCATGTATGTATTAAGGTCCCCTATCATATTATTATTTGTTTTAATTAAACTCTTTATGCAAGTTCATAGGCCTTGAAATGTAAGTGCTAATATTTGTTTTTTGCATTCCCTGCAATTCCATGATAATTTGCAAATGTGGTATGTGCTTTTAGTGAAATAATAGAAATTTCCATGACTTTGTTTGAAGGGAATGTCAGAAATTACTTGTTGATGAAACTTTATGATGTAGAATATTATTCAGATTTTTTCATAATGGGATAAAACATTATGGTATAGAATATAATTCAGATTTTATTTGAATAAAGGGATAAAACCTTATGATGTAGAATTTTTTTTTTTTCATAATAGAATAACATGCTGTAAAGATGTTTCCTGTACAATTCACTATTTTTTTTTTTAATCTAAAACAAGCTACTGATATGTTTTGTTATAATGAAGTAAAATTTTGGTTGTAACACAAAGAGGTTTTCCTTCTCAATACTTGATGACCTCTCTTGTGGTAGCTGAGGAAATCATTTCAGTGATAGAAGTATTCACTTCACAACCATTCTCAAAACAATAAAAAAATGCATAATAATACTTTTGTTTCAGTTACACATTAACTCTCAAATCCTTTTACAGTCTTTCAGTTTTAAATATTATTTCTCTTGAGTTATCACTTAACATTTGTTTTATCATTCATCTCTTCAATTTTATAAATTCAATTTTTTTCTACTTATTAAAAAAAATCCAATTCCTTTAAAGAAACAAGGAAAATTCTCATCTGATTTTAGGAAAAATAAAGTCATTTGACACATAGTTATATTTAATGATAAATTTAACTGATACTGTATCACATTTGTTCAAATTTTGCCTGAGTCATCGATCAGCATTACGACAACTACAGATTAATCAATTATAATAAAGATATTCAGAAAATCTTGAAAGAGTTTACAACTGAAATAATTTTTTTTGAGGAAGGCCTCAAATCCTTACAAAAAATCCATGGAAAAGTGTTATACATTCCCCAAAATGAAGGTTTGGTAAAGACCCCCTTAAGCATGTTTGCAATCTTTTTTCAGACTTTCTGTTCTGACCATTAATATTTCTCTAACGTACAAAACACGATTACACTTTATTACTTTCTGAGATCAGGAAGCTCAATCCTGTGACCAAATCACATTTATACTTTTAATAACCATTATCTCATTAAAGGCATAATCTTTACCAACCTTCAT